AAGTTCATGAGTACATCTGCATGAGAGCTAGCGATTACCCAATAAAACCTTCTGAAGGTGTTTAACAGATTTTACATGGCAAAACATGGCACAGTCTGTGATTTTCCAGAATGTTTATGGTCCCACTGAAAAACATGTAATGTGAAACTATGACATAAAAACTGAATGAACAGAAATATCTTAAACAGGTTGAAAGAGAGAAAGAAAACATGGAAAATAGATGGAAAAAATACGTTCAAAGGAAGAAAAGTGGAAAAAGTTATAACACAGAGTTTGGAAAAAAGAAGAGCTTTGATTCTAATGCAGAAAACATATTTTGAAAATTATATGGCACATCCTGTACACAATGTCTTAAACAGATTATTGTCATCCCAGATCTTCTACTTGTCGTGTACATACATGTGTATAATGTATCTGTCTCTAATGTGTCTCATTCCAGCACCATTCAAGCATATTGTGTTACTTTAATAAGAAGTTAGACCTGTTTTACATATTTCTGGTTCTCAACTTAACAATCGAGAAAGAGAGACAAAATGTATTTCGACATATTTGCACAGATTGATGTATTAAGAGAAAGTTATTAATTAATCTTTTGCAAAATTACCCTGCAAGGGAAAATTTTAACCCCGTTATATGCTACCCACGACCTCTGCGCAGGTCATTTGTTCTGTTTCGCTATAATCACACAATGTCATGACACTGGTTCTTTCTAACTACGGCGCGGTTGCTGAATCATCACCAGGTTGAGACTATTGCTATTCTTCTGAATGCTGCTTACGACCTCTGCGCAGGTCACACGTTATGCTACACTAAAATATCCTTGGCATCAACTTACCACAACCTACTCAATGAAGAAAATGTTATACAAAATTAGAACAAATACATACTCTTTATAGGAGCTAGACTTTCTATACCCTCCCATAGAATGAGCTGTGCATATTGCATTGGTAAAGATTAATCCAGAATTAGCTATGGTGGAAAAACATAACTAAGTCTTGGGACAACAAAAATATATATCTAAAACACAGAATTAAAAATCACCATCAATGATTGTGGCTTCTGCAAATAATAAGGCATAAAGTAGAGGGTTTGAGTTCAAATTCCTAGTGGTACTTGAAGTGATAAACAGTTTTTGTATATACAAGTTTTTATTTGAATTTCTGAGCAAAGTCCTCTGTTTCGGTCCCTGAGGTTTAGAGCACTATAAGAATGTATAATTTTATAAATGATGGCTTGATGGGAAGTTCTGTGTTTGTTTTTTAGATTGTTTTCCTGGTGAGGTTAATAAATTCTTAGCTGGTGTTTATATGGATAAACAATTCAATTTGGTGTATGGAGTTTAAAAGAAAAGAAAAAAACACCAAAAAAAACCATTTGAAAGGGTGAGAGCTATTCAAAGTCATGCAGGTGTCATTTATGCTTAAAATGCATAATAAGTTTGTCCATGGAAGGTTGGCATTTCCAGTAATTACTTTATTACCTCTTTGGATGTGTGGCAAATTTTCTCTATCAGTAACATTGTTAACTACATAGGCTAAAAAGAGACATGCCTATCAGGTCCAGCCTTTCTCACATCTGTTTTTACTGTTGATTCAAAAGAAGGCAAAAAAAAAGAAAAACAGTTTGAAGCACTTTCCAATTTTGCGACAAACTAGGGAAGAAATATTTCTCTCCTTGGATCAATAGACTGTGACCACACTTGTTTAAAAATCATGTCCCTGAATATTATCGTTTTTCAAGTATTCATCCAGTTGGTGTTTAAACATCTGTACAAATTAAATCACCTTTTCAGGCAGAGAATTCCACATCCACACAGATTTGAATCTGTTAACCTTTCTTCATAACTAAAATGTTCCATTTCTTTTATTAATTTTGTAGCTTGCCTCTGGAATTTTTCTAGTGTCATTATATCATTTATTTAGAACAGGAGCCCAATATTGCACATCATATTTAAAGTGTGTTCTTACCAGCGATTTATAAAGAGGCAAAATTATATTTTCATCTTGACAAGTAATCAGGGCTCGAGTAATGCAGGAACGCATGGGAACTGAGTTCCTGCACTTTTTCCACAGCAGGAACACCGTTCCCGTTAGTAGTCCTGCAGGACAGAGGTGGATCTTTAATTAGGCAATGTAGGCAGCCGCCTAAATCGCCTTAGGGCAGTGTGACATGTCGGGTCCTCGGTCAGAGACAGAGGGCCCGACACAGGAGGGTTCGAGGCCCCTCCACACAGCCTGCCCTGGGGGAGAGCCAGCCTTCTGTCTGCAACTCCGCCAAGTGCAGAGCTGCAGACTTGGTGTCTCGCGATCTCCAGCCAATAAGAGCGTTGCCGCAGGTTACCACGGCAATGCTCTGACTAGAGATCGCGAGACTTACCACGTGGTCTGCAGCTCTGCAACCGGCGGAGCTGCTGACTGGAGAACCAGCTCACTGGACCACCAAGGAAAGCTGCCCACTGGACCACCAGGAAATAATTACAGAAAACTAAAAGTTTTTACCTTTTCACAGCCCCCCTACCAACTCACAACTGCCCATCCTACTCATAGTCCCCCTACCCACCTTACTGCCTCCATACAGCCCACCATACTGCCCCCTACCCACCATACAGCCCACCATACAGCCCCCTACCCACCATACAGCCCCCCAATCCTGCTACCCACCATACAGCCCCCTACCCACAAAACAGCCCCCCTACTCACTCACAGTTCTCCTACCCACTTTACAGAACCCCTACCCACCTCACAGCCTCCCCTACCCACCTCACAGCCCCTCTACATCATACAGCCCCCCTACCCACTCCCAGTCATCCTATCCACTTTACAAAACCCCTACCCACCTCACAGCACCCCTATCCACCTTACAGCCCCCTGCCCACTTTACAGCCCCCTACCCTCTCACAGCAACCCTACCCTCTCACAGCCCCTCTACCTTTTCACAACTCATCTAACATCTCACAGCCCCCCTACCCTCTCACAGCATTCCTACCCACACCTTGTCACAGCCATCCCCACCCTGTCTCCCCACACACAGTTACAGCCACTCCCACCCACTCTGACTTAATAGACCTTACAGAGGAGGTAGAGATGATCGGTTCCTCTACCCAGCAGCAGCCAGCGGCACAGGGAGAGGAGATTGTTGGTCCCTCATCCCAGCTGCAGCAAGCATCCCAGGGAGTGGAGATAGTCGATCTCACTACCCAGCACCAGGCAGCGTTACTGGGAGTCGAGACGGTCGGTCCAACTCCCCAGCAGCAGCTTACCTTACAGGGAGAGGAGACAACCGATCTCTCTCTCCAGCGGCAGCCGGAGATACCGGAAAAGAAGACAGCTGGTCCCTCTTCTCAGTTACAGGGGGACCTCATTAACTGCTGCTGGGGGGAACCCCAACTGGCAGGTGGAGATGAGACTGAGCAACCTGGGACATCCACCATAAAGCCCTGCTACCCACCTTACAGCCCCCCTACCCACTCACAGCTCTCCTACCCACCTTACAGCCCTCTTTCCAACCTTACAGCCCCCTTTCCTACCTTACAGTGCCCCTGCCCACTTTACAGCCCCCTACCCACCTCACAGCCCCCTACCCTCTCACAGCCCCCTATGCTCTCACAGCAACCCTACCCTCTCACAGCCCCTACCTTCTCACAGCCCCTCTACCTTTTCACAACCCATCTACCTTCTCACAGCCCCCCTACCAGGTCAAGTGTTTGTTAATGGGTGGGCTACTCGACTAACTCAGGTACTAACCAACAGAAGGTCAGGTACCTGGTTAGTCTTCCCTTAAGAGGGAAGAAATGTGATGAACTGAGCCTCGTCACATGTTCTTGAAGGGGCTTGCTGGCCAGCCTCTTACCAAAAGACTATGGGCCCTTAAAAAAACAAAAAACTATGTGAACAGACTTGGTACGTGGGATTTTATATTTGGTTCGGGAACCGAACAGCTGCACGAACCGGAGACCACCCTGGAGCTTGTTAAGCCTAATTGCAACTTTGTAGCAATTTCCACCGCAGTGTTCTAAGTGTTCATCTGAATGCAGGCAGTGGTGTTTGGGCATGAATCTCATGGAACTGAAAACTGACACGAAGACTCCCGAACAAGCATCACCTGCAGTCGGTTCCACAACACTTGGAAGAGTTCCCATGAACAAAGGGGATCAAGCTCCATGGTAAGACTATTGACTCTGTTTGGTAGTTTGTTCGTTTTTAAACTACTGAACTAGACCTATCGCAAGCCCTGATTCCCTGGAACTGTTTTGGGCATGGGACCATGGAGGGATTATCTTATTTTGTATGGGAGTGTCCAGGGCCGGTGCAAGGATTTTTGGGTACATAGGCGAAGATGTATCTTTCCGCCCCCCCCAAATAACATCTTCACCTATGTGCCTCTTAACCAGCCCCTCTCCCCGTCCATTAGTGGTCCCCTCCCTTCCCTGTCCCTTAGTGTTCTTCTAAGCTCTCCCCTCTTTTTCCTGTCCCTTGGTGTTTCTCTCCCCTCCCCTCCCTGTCCCTTGGTGCACCTCCCACCCCCTTAGTGGTCGCACTCCCCTTCCTGGTATGCCTCCTACCTCTCTTGTAGCGTTGCCGAGTGGAGGATATCCCCTACAGGAGCTTCAATTTTCTGTACCTGGCCGGACTGACAGGGAGTGCTCTCTCAGTGAGCACCTCCGGTCAGTCTGGTCGGGTACAGGAAACACAAGCTCCTGTACTGCGCTCCACCACGCTACACTCAGTGGTGTATACACATTGACAGTCACACACACTCAATGACAAACACACAGACTCACTGATCTGACACACACTCATTCATTGACAGACACACTGATACTCACACACAGACTCAATGACAAAGATACTCTCACTGATTTGACAGACACTCACAAACACACACTGACAGACACACATACACTGCCACACTCATACACTCACATGCAGTACTCATACAAGCACTCACAGACACACTCACTCACAGACACACATACTCATGCACACACTCAGTCACTCACAGGCACACAGACACTCCGGCACACATACACTCACACACAGACACACACACAATCACAGACAGTCACTCACAGACACACAGACACACACTCACTAATTATTTTAATAAATTAACAGGCAGGACAAAACTCAGGCACCCCCCAACCCTTCCCCCCGCCCGCTAAATACACACACACACACACACACACATTCACTGACAGATTCGCATACACTCGCTAACAGAAACACACTCACTGACACACAGTCAAACACACACATACACACACTCACTAGCACACACACTCACATTCACTGACAGATCCGCATACACTCGCTAACAGAAACACACACACTCACTGACACACACACACAGTCAGACACACACACACTCACTGACACACAGTCACACACACACACTAACAGACAAACAGTCAGACACACACTAACAGACACACACTCACTAGCAGACACACACACAAACTCTCACACACTAACAAACACACATTAAATGACACACTCACTGACACACACACAGTCAGACACACACATACACACTAACACTCACTAGCAGACACACACACACACACACAAACTCACACACACAAATTAACAGACACACACTAACAGACACACACACACACACACACACACACTCACAGGCAAACACACACTCACTGACAGTCAGACACACACTAACAGACACACACTCACTCACTAGAAGACACACACTCACACAGTCAGACACACACACACCAACAAAACACACACACATTAACAGACACACTCACCACATACTTGCCCACTCCCATCTCCCCATAATTCTGGGAGTGCTGGGGGGGAAGGGGTTCATTACCTCCCTGGTGGTCCAGTGGCTGCTGGGCGGCCGGCGAGGGAGCTCTTCCTATGAGCGGTCTGCTCAGCTCCCTCGCGCGCCGCAAAGTGAGGCTGGGAGCCGGAATATGACGTCATATTCCGGCTCCCGCGGTATCAGCAGACAGCGCGCGAGGGAGCAGAGCGTGGAAATTAGAGCTCCCTCGCCGCGTCTGATCACAGCACAGCCGCGCGCCGCGCCGGGGATCCAAAAGGTGGCCTGGCAGGAGGTCACTGAAATATTGCGCCCCCAGAGCCGGTGCGCCCTAAGGCGGCCGCCTGTGCCGCCTTATGGACGCGCCGGCCCTGGGAGTGTCCTAGACCTGGGAGCCAATGTGATTGTGTATTTATTTCTACTGTGGTTTACAATCAGATCCAGGGGGGAGTGTCATAAAAGGCCAGTTGTGGCTACCATTAATGTGAGATTCGTTTTTCCCTTCATGAAGTCTAGGCTCATGTTTGGGGGATGGGAGAGCTATATTCACACTTTGGGGATTGCTATAATCACTATACTCCCTTGGATCACAACACTTGCTCTTATAAGAGCAGCCTGCTTTGCTCTCTGAACTAGGAGAGTTCTACCCACTGGAAGCTGGATCTTGGTCTTGGGTTCAGGGTGGGTGGAGGACAGCAAGACCCCAACCAAGCTGCGGCAGTTTGTGGGGTTTACTGTGGTTATGGTGTACCAGTGCAGTGCATATGGTGCTCGCTAGTACTAGGAAGAAGCAATTGACGGAGGTACCCGGTCGGGGTGCCAGGCGGTCCGTCACAGGATGCATGTCTGAGTGTATAACATACGTAAAACAGTCTGTCACACTTGTGATGGCAGTCGTGCTAAATAAGTTTAAGATAAGCATAAGGCCCACCCGTGGAAACCTTGAGTACCAGCTCAGAAATAATAGTTAAACAAAGACATGTTAGCCTTACTGCAGAATGTCAGATGTGTGTGAGGAATTTAAGCCATGGTAGGAGACAAATGAAAATAATGAAAACATAGCAAAGGAATTGTCTCAAGAACAGAAGGCAGGCGTAGATATAACATAAGCACTATCACTGGGTATGAAATTGCATAGAGATATGGTATGCAAAATAAAATATACGGAGCAAAAGAAACAAATATGTACCCGCATGAGAGAAGAAAACAGAGGCAATAAGATACAGTTGAAAATTCAGCCGAAACCCAGAATACCCAGATACCCATGGATACTGCCCTGGTAACCTTGGTGACTCAAGTCCCAAATAACAGTACCCCATCACCCCCAGGCCTTTACAGTCCACAGCAGTCTCACAAGTTCCATTGAGGTTTACAACAAGGACTTGGTGTCCAGGACCTTCCACATGCTGCAATCGTACACCTTCCAAGGGTGTGAGATGTGCATAGGGTATTTCCCAAATGTAGGCTGCAACCATGTCTGGCCTCACAACCACTGACTGATTGCAGGTTTAATTCAAAAGTGTAGCTAGAGGAGCTCACAAAATGATATAGGGTATTCCAGGCCAGGCCCGGACTGGCCATCGGGCACACCGGGCAAATGCCCGGTGGGCCGCGGTGGCCATGGGCCGAGGCCGGCAGGGGAGGTCCCAGGATCTCCCCTGCCGGTCTATGCAGGGCCGGCACTCTCCTAGCGCCGGCCCCGCTGTTGGCCACGACGGGCCGGTGGGGAGATCAAAGCTCTCCCTCACCGGCCCAAATGCGGCCGCCGGCGGGGAGGGAGGGAGCCAGCCAGGCTGGAGAGAGGACCCGGCGGAGCTCTAATATGCATCTCCGCCGGGTTCCTCTCGCGTTGCCATTTCAACAACCGGATCTCGCGAGAGTGAACTCTAGCCTGACAGGCTATGCGGGCTAGAGTTCACTCACCCACGAGGACCACCAGGGAACACCGCCTCCCAGCGTGCCGGTCCCACCTCTCCCAGGCTAAAGGTAAGAAGGGAGGGGGGACATAATGCCTGTTTTTTTATTTTAATTTTATTTTATTTACCCCCGCTACACACACACAATAACATTTATACAGCACTCTCACACCCATCACACTCACAGCACTCTCACAGAGCACTCTCACACCCATCACACTCACAGCACTCTCACAGAGCACTCTCACACACACACAGCACTCTCTCACACAGCACTCTCACACCCATCACACACAGCACTTTCACACACACAGCATTCTCTCACAGCACTCTCACACCCATCACACTCACAGCACTCTCTCACAGCACTCTCACAGAGCACTCTCACACACACACAGCACTCTTACACCCATCACTTTAACACACACAGCACTCTCTCACAGCACTCTCACACACACACAGCACTCTCACACGGCACTCTCACCCCCGGCACTCTAGCCACTCTAATGAGCTTAATGAAGTGGTCTTGGTGCCAGGTCCTTCTAGGGTTAACCCATTGTTTTATAAACATAGCAGTTTCAGAGAAACTGCTATGTTTATCAATGGGTTAAGCCTTCCCCCAAAGCCTCTAGCAGCTGTCTCATTGACAGCCGCTAGAGGCGCTTGCGTGCTTTTCACTGTGAAAATCAAACTGAGAGCATGCAAGCGTCCATAGGAAAGCATTATAAATGCTTTCCTATGCGACCGGCTGAATGCGCGCGCAGCTCTTGCCGCGCGTGCGCATTCAGCCGACGGGGCGGATCGGAGGAGGAGAGCTCCCCGCCCGGCGCTGGAAAAAGGTAAGTTTTAACCCCTTTCCAGAGCCGGGCGGGAGGGGGTCCCTGAACCAAATATGCATCACATTACACCACAAACACAACACGACTAAAACCGACCTTATTACACAATACCACACCACGACCAGCTAACTCTACACATACGTAATACCACAAGCAGGCTCCAAACACATGCACAATACTCTTTCCTGGCCTTTTGTCTCCTGGTATCCATTTATAGAGACACCAGAGACAAGTTGCAAGGAAACACAGTGCAAGCATGTTATTAAATTTGCTTGCACTGTGCAGAACAAATACAGGACTTTTTTCTCGTGCTAGAGCTCTTCAGCAGAGCTCTGCGCATGGTCTGCCCTGGAAGAGCATTGAACCAACATGCTCACTTTGAGAGGAGGCGTGTTTGTCATTGGTGATGACAAAACACACCTCCTCTGCCCCGCCCCCTTTTTAGTGGGCCGCTGTGTTAAAAAAATGCCCGGGCCGAATTTTTCTCCCAGTCCGGCCCTGTTCCAGGCTAAATAAAAGCAACAAGTTACGCGTGAAACCGGTAAAGTTTTTAAAAAAAAAAGCTCCTGGAGCTCAGCCAAAATGAGTCTGGCCAGCTCTGCAATTCTTTTCAATTTTTTAGATAGATATTTTATCCTAAGTGTGTTTTGTTATCAATAGATGTATATGAAAACATACACATTGAAATTTGCTAGATTGGTTTGCTGGGCCTATGCTGCCTTTGCGACCATATGGTAGCCCAGGAATGAAAATTACCCCCACCGTAGCAGATCATTTGCAAAAGTAGATAACCAAGGGTTTTCAAAATGGGGTATGTTCAGTATTTTTTAGTAGCCACTTAGTCACAAACCCTGGTTAGCTAGCCTTCATATTTGTTTCTTGATTTTCCCCAAAAAACTGCATTTTCACTGATGATATCATCAGCATTATACATTTTAATACTCTACAACAGGGCTTCCCAAACTTTTATGGGCCCAGACCCACTTTTGAAAACTTTTTTGAGACCCACTTGCTTTTAATGCATATTTTAAAAATGAACACCATGGCAACCAGCTTTAGTGGCATACAATTGGCACACCGTGGCAAGTGCTTTTACAGGGATAAAATTGGCACACTATGGCAATCAGTTTTATAAGCATAAAATTGGCACACCCTGGCAATCAGTTTTAGAAGCATAAAATTGGCACCCCATTACAATCAGTTTTACAGGCATACAATTGGCACACCATGGCAATCAGCTTTAGATGCATACAATTGGCACACCATGGCAATAATTTTTAGAGGCATAAAATTGGCACATTATTGCAATCAGTTTTATAAGAATAAAAGTGGCATACCATGGCAATCAGTTTTAGAGGCATACAAGTGGCACACCATGGCAATCAGCTTTAGATGCATAAACTTGGCACATCATGCCAACTTTAGGTGCATAAAATTGGCACACCATGGCAATCAGCTTTAGAGGCATAACATTGGTACACCATGGTAATTAGTTATAGAGGCATACAACTGGAACATCTTGGCAGCTTTAGATGCATAAACTTGGCACATCATTGCAATCACTTTTAGATGCATACACTTGGCACACAATGGCAACTTTAGATGCATAAGATTGGCATATCATGGCAGATTTAGAGGCAGAAGCTTGGCATATCATGGCAATCAGTTTTAGAGACATACAACTGCTTACTCACAGACTCACGCAGAATCAGAAGCGCTGTGTTCAGCTCTTTCATCCAGGCACCTCACGTTAAGTATCCCAGTGGTGGAACTAATGTAGCGAGGACCCTGGTTCAAGTATGTTTTCTGGGAACCGCTCTAGTGCAAGTGTGGCCAAAAGGTGGATCCCCAGCTGTCGGAGAACTTCCACAATACTATGCCAGCTGGGGATGTACCATTTGCCCATCATTGCAGGGTTGTATTTGTGAGCAGTGTTTAAGCATTTGAATGTAAGCAAGTTTTTGTATGAAGTAAATATGTGTATGTATGGGTGTATTTGTATGTAGTGTTGCCATTGGAATGTAGTGGTGTACGTGTGCGTAGTGTTTGCGCCTGAATGCAGGGGTCTGTTTGTATGTAGTGTTGGACTTTAAATGCAGGTGTGCTTTTGTGTGTAGTGTTGATGTTTGAATGAAGGGGTGTTTGAATATTATTTTAATGTTTTAATATAGGGGTGTGTTTGTATGTATGTTTGTGTTTTATTGCAGTGCATGTGTGTATATTGTGTATATAAAAAATATACATATACACAATGTGTGTTTGAATGTAAGGATGTTTTTGTATGGAGTGTGTGTGTGAATGTTGGTGATTGAATTCAGGTGTGCATTTCTGTATAAACTTCCACACACACTGAAACACATATACACACAAACACATACAGAGACACACACGCAAATACACAGACACAAAAACACACACACTGACACAGCAAAAAGCACACAGACACCTCGTTTTCCACACACAGATACACAGACACTAATTTACACAGATACACAGGCACAGGCACACAAATACACACACTGATGCAAAAGGACACACATACACATAGAGAAAGGAGGTAAGGGTTACAGTGTGTAGGGGAGGTGAGGGTGACAGCGTGAGAGGGAGTGTGTGCTGGTGA